ACTATGAAATCAAAGCCAATAACCTGTCGTTGATGTTAGGGCCAAAAAAGGTCCTCGGCCCAAATAGGTCTGAAGATGAAGACACTTTCAACAAAGCTCGGAGCCATGACCCAATTCTGATTGGGCCTGCAACTGAGTCTGCATACTAGGTCCGTTCGGTACACCTACCCTGTTGCTCACTACTTGGGCCCAATAAGCAAAAGCCGATTCTCTTAGGCCTCGTCACCAGCTTGTCTAGGCCCAAGCCCTTTGATCCTATACCACCTTTTGGACTTGGGATTACTTGGAGCTCAGGGTGCCTACTTACCCCAATACTACCAAACTCTATTGAAGAGGTCCATTACTACCCTAATTCGTCTAAGATCCATGTCTTAGACCTGTTAGGACTCCCTTTCCCACTAAGTAAGGGAACCAAAGGTTCTACTTTTTCACAAACCTTAACTAAGGACTCACAGTCCTACTAGGATTCGAAGATCCTACAGTCATTATTTAAACAGGGGTGAACCCTTTCACAAAGGACATACATTACACATCAGACCCCGCAGTTCTCACTCTTGAGAATTCGTATCACAGCCGTAGTTATAGGCGCTGACTAGACTTTGGTAACCTTCTCTCTCCTAACCCTCACTAAATTAGCCTCATTCGGCTTTGCTAACTTGAGTGTCGGAGTGTCCAAGGCAAACACCACGTCGGTGTTTTCCGTTCGCTTCACGCTTGTTTTCTTACGTGTGCAAGTACAGTGGATTGCTGGTGGCCTCAACCTCACGGGATCATACCCTATTTCTGTAAAGGTAGATTTTTTCCATCTACAGTTGGTGCCCATCGTGAGGCCTTGGTGTAAAACCCCCCTCAGTCAGGTATCCTCTGAATATCTCTCAATGGAATCCTAGGGATACATGTTTGGAGAACGAGTTGTATTTAGAAAAAAAACTGTGTAAGGATAATATAAAATAATATCCAAAACATGCATATAAGATGTACGCAGGATCCAAACTTATAATTTCAAAAACTTCAAGAAATTATCCGAAAATTACACAATCAAACAATTTATAGGGTGGAAGCTTCCAAAGGTGTTTCACAAACATGTATCATACATATATTACATCAAGATAAAAACATCAAGGGGACAATAAATCATCTCCCCTCACGTGTAGCCCGTTGTCTCTAGCATCCTTCGCTTTTGGTACTTGCAAAGCAATCAACAATGAAAGGGTGAGCGCTAATAGCTCAGTAAGGAATGATCTATTTTATTCTAAATGTGCTATTTGACCTTCATTTAAACATATTCGTTAACACATCACTTATCTTTTACATCTAGGTATACTTCCCTGTTTTTTCTAATTCATATGCTTTTCATCATTTTATCCTATGGCTATATAAACTCAATGCATACATAACAAACAAGTATGTAAACATAGTACACACATATTACATGTCATGATATAACATCTAAATATCATCTAACATGAGTATAAATCATCCATGATGTAAATAACATCATAACCATGTAATGCAACTAAATGCATATGAAGGATAACGTGTAGGCGATCGAACTTCTTAGCGTCTTAAGCACTTCATATCATCTAGCCTCAAATTTATCTAGAGCTCATATCATGGGAGGCATGCTCACCCGTTATTTAGCATCTAAAGCATATATTCATCTTCCTCAACCGGTATATGAGGATATGCTTACACACTTCCATCATGTCTATATGCAGCTTAAACTATGGTAGTAAATACATTTTAGTGAGCTTAACACTTTTAATCATCTATGGATTATCAATCCATTACATTACCCTTGCTCACATTCACATCTTAAAACATGATTACATTGCATCTTCATGCCATTTCATAACATTAATCAGCATTGACATCATGACCATGTATATCTTTCAAGAGCGTCTAACTAATGGGTAAACATTAGTACATGGCTTAACCATGTCAATATATAATCAATTCATAATCATAAGAATTAATTATGTTAAATCTTAAACTTTAATAAATAGAAGCTTAAATTCAAGCCATTTCCATCCATTTGATAATCAAATTGGCTCTGGCCTAAGCATAAAAGTTGTAAGGCTATGTCTTAAATTTCTAGTGCTTCAAGAATCATCTCATTTCGATTTTTATAACTCAAGTTATGGTCAAAATACTTAAGCATGTTTAACATAACCCATAAGCTTACCAAATCCGAATTTCATATTAACTATGCCACATCAATTCCTATTGACAATTAAATAAAGGTCAACTATGGATCAAATAAACCTTCCCTTAATAGTCTTTAACATCTTAAAGGAAGTATAAAATCTCATTCATAATCACCATTATGTTATAACATTGTAAGCTAATGCAAACAACACATCAACACTTCTAATAGCAACCATTCAACACCATGTAGCTTTCAATACTATAAGTTTTTGCCATAATCAACATCCACACTTCTTTTCTTCAATCAAACATAACAACTATAAAACATAAATAGCAATAACTTCATGTATAATGAATTCAAAACAATAATAGAATAATGAGTCAACTACACTTACCATCAACTAATTCTATGCCTTAAAGCCTCAATTTGAGGTTTCTTAAAATCTACAAACCCTAGCATAATCCCTAAAGTCATGGGAGGTTTTTCTACCTTTATAAGAATTCCTCCACAAATCATTTGCCTTGTCTTCTTTTACACCTTAATCCTACATATATAATTATACATCAACATCTACTTCAAATCTTCAAATCACATCAAAACTAGGGTTTTTAATCCTTACCTTAAACCCTTCAATTGAAGATCCAAGGCTCCCATCTTTTTTCCTTGAAAAATTATGCAAAACTCCTTTAAAACTTAGAGAAAGAAAGCTTGTTTCATGGAAGATTTGAGAGAAAATGGAAGAAATGCTGGCTGAACGAATTCATCTCATTTGTGAAAATATTTCATTAATTTTCCAAATATGCATTGGCCAATTGTTTTAATTGTATAACTCATAAGTCCTTAATTCACATATAAGGGCATTTTGGTCATTTCGCCCTAAACATAATTATACTTAATTAATGCCATTAAATGCAATTAAGCCTACTCATCCTTGACTTTTTCAATGCTTATCCATAGGCAAAAGACTATTTTGCCCTTAATACCTTTCTATGGATAATTGTTACACTGTTCCAAATGAATTGACTATTTTGCCCTTAGTTAGATTTTATGCTTTTCAACATAAAATTAACATCTAAAGGACTATTTTGAGTTAGGAACATACCTTGACATCTTGGGTATACATTGACAATCATTCATCTTTAAACCTGCTTCGTAAGGAAACTCTCTATGGCTGAAAATTCAAATAACACCAATCCTGGCCTGAGGCCAGACTCGAAGCTCTGAATGGCCTTATGCAAAAACACTCAGATAAGGTGGCAACACTAGAAGTAAGATAACTGCCATCCAGACCAAAAACGTCTCATCCGGGCCGAAAACTAGTATCTAAAGAAAAGGTAAGTCAATTTTAGACCTTGAGCTTCAGCTTGTCAGGTATAACCCAATCGTTTTTGCGTATCAGTTCTGTCCATGCAGCCTCTCTATACGCCAGATCATAGACCAACGGTCTTAGAAGATCGCGACAACTCTATTTGTCGCTAGTGGACGATTCAGCCGATAATCCAATAGAGCGAGGATTGCCAATAGAGCCACTCTCAGTCGACCCGCTTCAGGCATGAGATCAAGACATCCAAGTAACAGAAAGCCCACCACAACAAGAGCCACCCATCCTTGCCATCCCGTCTCATATCCAATCAAATATTCCTACACAAACCCCACTAGGCTCGACTCATCCTCGCAGGTCGAGCAGGCTCCCTCACCTTCAATCCACCCCACTTGAGTCCGTCCATCCCCACGGACTGAGCGACTCCCAAATAACCCCTCTTACCATCCATGGGGGCTGAAACACCTAATCAGTCACAATGGGAACCACTTAGAAAGAATAAATGGAGATCTGAGTTACCAAGCGGCACACGATGGAATGGTTCGCTAAACTACCCTAGTGACTTGACCCAACGAAACATATCGAGTGTGAATCACGTGACAAACCATGCCAAGCAGGATGAACTGGTGGCCTCCGCCTCGCCCATGGTGCAGAAATTGGCCAAAAGATTGGCTGACATAGAGGCAATGATGAGGCGTATACCTGGAGTACCAATCCCAACCAAAAAGAGCCAACCTTATTACTATACCAATTCACCCTTCGTGGATGCAATTGCGCTAGACGAGATGCTACACAAATTCACCATCCCCAGCATGAAACCTTACGATGGCACAACTGACTCGGATGACCACATAGCCTCATACAAGCAGTGGATGTTTGTCGCCTTGATACCCTGAACACTGAGGGAAGCCTGCATGTGTAAGATCTTTGACTAAAGCCTTTTCGGACCAGCCCTTCAATGGTATACTAACCTTCCAAACAACTCAATCAGCTCATTCACCCAACTCACACGACACCTTTGTTGAACAATTCACCAACAGTAAGAAACTCGAAAAGCTGTCAGCCTTATACAGAGTCTACTAGAAGAGGGGGGAGCCGTTGAGAGAGTACGTTAGTAGATTCAATAAAGAAAAAATCTCCATCATATCCTGTAATCTAGAGACAGCGGTAGATGCTTTTAGAAATGATCTCCTCTTAGATGGAGAACTATACAAAGACCTGACAAAGCTCAGCTGCACCACAATGAAAGATGCCCTAGCCAGAGTTGTGATCCAAATTAGGCGGGAGGAAGACGAGGTGAACCAGATGAGGCATGCCAGATATGATGACCGTCACCAAAGGCGGAATGAAAGAAATCTAGAGTCGAGATCGTTTGAGCCCACTTATCAACCCCCTCCCCGCAATCCGAGCAGAATAAAAAAACCATATGATCGCTAGCCGACCAGAGCCGAAAATAAACCATCCGGATCAAACCAATTCAAGGCTTTATAGTACAACCTTAACATCGAACCAGCCTAGGTTATGACAATCATGAAAGGAATTGGACCTATCATGAAGTGGCCAACCAAGCTCAATCTTGACGCGAAGAGCGACACGACCAAGTGGTGCGAATTCCACAGTGACCATGGTCATAATATCGCCGATTACATCGCCTTAAGATTGGAAGTTGCAGCACTACTGAAAAAGGGACATCTCCGAGACCTATTGACACATAAATGGAAGAATACAGTCGGTTAGAGAAGCTCGAAGGAAACATCTCCCCCTCCACGTGAACCAGCATCAAAGGGGTTCTGCTCCATTATCTCTGGAGGCTTGAAAATCAGTGGGGTGAGTTATTCCTCAGCCAAACGCTACACCCGAGCCAAACATCACCTATAAGTTCAGTCCATTCATCCATCCCCTCAGGTGCATACCAACCAAATCATTCAGTTTGAAGATGACGAGCGAATCACCCTTGCCGCCCCTCATCACGATGCTCTGGTCATCTTCCTCCAGATCGCCAACATCCTGATCAAGAGAGTATTCATAGACGGGGGATCCTTGACAAACACCCTTTTCCTCGAAGCAGTGAAGGCCATGAGACTGGATGAATCAAACATCAGCAGATGACTGACCATCCTGGTCAGGTTCAATTCTGAGTAGAAGTACACCATTGGTGAAATCGCCTTGTCTGTCTATGCTAGCGGAGTCAACAAGCAGACCATCTTCCTAGTGCTTGGTTGCCCTTCATCGTACAACGTCATTTTGGGTTGACCCTGGATCCACGATATGCGAGCTGTCCCATCCACCTTCCATCAAACTATCAGGTTTCCAACAAAATAGGGAGTAAGAGAAATCAAGAGCGATCCTAAGGCGTCCATAGACTACTGCAAAAATGCCTTCAAAGGCAAAGGTTATGCTTCATAGCAATTATAGTCCCACCCAACCCCTCTGACTATGCCAGATCAACCATCTATGGAATAGTTAGATGAAGTACAGCTACATTCGGACTATACCAATCGGAAGACCCAGATAGGCTCTCGCCTCAGACTCGAGATGAGAGAACGACTTATAGACTTCCTTAAACAAAATTAAAACTGCTTCGTCTGGTCCCACACGGACATGACAGGAGTCAACATCGAGGCAATCTTCCACCACCTTTATGTAGATCTGGATGACCTTCCAGTGAAGCAGAGGTGGAGGAAGTTCGCACTAGAACGCAACTGGTCATCAATGAACAGATTGACAAACTACTGAGTAATAGACTGATTAGAGAAGTGTACTACACCGACTGGCTGGCAAACGTTGTGATTGTGAAGAAAAAGAATAAAAAGTGGAGGGTCTGCATAGACTTCATAGATTTGAACAAAGTATGCCCCAATGACTCCTTCCCATTCCCACATATCGACATGATGGTCGATACGACAACAGGTCAAGAACTCCTAAGTTTTATGGATGTCTTTTTAGGGTACAACCAACTTTTGATGCACCCAGATGACTAGGAGAAAACAACTTTCATCATAGAGAGGGGAACCTACTACTACAAAGTAATGCCTTTTGGTTTTAAGAACATTGGGGCCACTTATCAACGGCTAGTCAATAGAATGTTTGCCAAACACCTCGGAGAAACCATGGAAGTATAAATGATGATATGCTCGTCAAGTCCCTTATAGCCGAACAACACCTTGACCACATCAACTAACCATTCGCCATCCTAAGGAAATACAATATGAAGCTGAACCCAACCAAGTGTTCGTTTAGGGTCTCATTAGAAAAATTCTTGGGACACATGGTGACTCAGCATGGGATAAAAGCCAACCCTGACCAGATTCAAACTATCCTTAACATATCATCACCAACTTGCATCAAAGACATCTAGCGCCTTGCGGGGCAAGTAGCTGCCTTGAGTCGATTCATCTCCAGATCTACTGACAAGTGCCACATTTTCTTTGCCATGCTCAAGAAATCCAAGAAATTTGAATGGACCCCCACATGTGAGGAGGCCCTGCAGCAGCTAAAGAGGCATCCCCACATCCAAGAAATTAATTAAGAGTGAGTAAGGGTGTCCTCATTGGAAGATTAATATGTTAAATTAAATTTTAATTTGGAAACTTTAAAGAAATTAATATGTTAGAACTTAAAAGCTTTACTCTAGTCTTATGGTAATAATGGACATTGTGGAAAAGATTAATTACGTAGCTGCACAAGAGCCCACAAAATGACAAGAGCCGGCAAAATGACATTAGGTTTGGTTATTATTACAAGGTAAAATTTAAAAATGAACAAAAAAACTTCTAGGTTTGTTAATTTAGCTAAACACCCATAATAATAAAAAGTTTATAAATTGACAAAAACACCTCCACCAACCCATACTTGCTAGATTCCTGCCACCATTGTCGGAATCTGGTGTCATTGAGCACGATTGGCCAGATTTGGCCGATCGTGTGCCGCTATGGCTTTTTTCGGCCAGATCCACCACAGATTCGATTGGAAAAGGTCAGATCTAGGCACATCTGGCGCTCACTGAAGGCCACAGATATGGTCATCGTTGACTATCAACGACGGCCATATATTAGCTGTCGTTGACGGCCACATGTGGCTAAAGATCTGGCCTTCAATGGCTAGATCTTTAGCCTTGGATCTGGCCAGAAAAGGTCAGATCGACGTATTACCTACCAGATTCAGTAGGTAATACGTCGTTATGTCAGATTCTGACCACCTTCCAATGGTGGTTGTCGGAATCTAACAAATGTGGATGGGTGGGGGTGTTTTTGTCACTTTATAAAAATTTTTGTTAGGAGTGTTTAATTAAATTAATAAACCTATGGGAGTTTAAAATAATTGAATATTATAAAATATGATTTTGAGAATAGGAAAACAAATATAACTGGCCTTTACCCTTTCTCTCTAACTCTACACGTCATGATGAAGGTTCATCTCCCCTTCCCACGTGTGACCCCTGCCACCAATAAAAAAAAAAAAAAAAACTCCTTTTGCTTTCTGCTCTTTGTGAGGCGTGTAGTTCCACGAGTCAACCGGCCCCACGTGTTCTCAAAGTCAAGAAAGTAACCAATCAGGAGATTAGATGGTTCCCTCTTTAAAATTTAATGCTTCTCAACCGAGTTTAGTTGATTGGACACGTGTCAACCTGTCATAGCATATGAAAAACTATCGGCTCTACCCACGGTCACCTTACTCACCTTTTACTAAACAACAATGCTATAGACACCGGCGTTTTTATACCGAAATTTTGTACTGGCTTACATGTATACTAACTCAGACCAATCAACTCATTTGACCTTATTAAATTTTTTCTAATGAACGGCCGTCCATAACATATGGACGACCGTTCACTAACATGGACTCCCGTCCATATTTAAAGGACGCCCGTCCATTGGTAAATGAAATAAAAAATTTAAAAATTAAAAAAAAATCTGGAATGGACGCCCGTCCACAATTAATGGACGCCTGTCCATTGTGTAAGGACGGCCGTCCGTATGTAATGGACGCCCGTCCATCTAATTGTTTTGTTTTCAGATAACCATCTCCTCTCTTTTTCTTTGTCTTCATTGCCAGTGGTGCAGTCCATTTCACTGCCTTAAATAATGACTGTGGTGTTAGAGATTTTGATATGGAAAAGTATCAACTCTTGAAGCATTTCCGTTTTACTTGGCTTCATTTTCTGGGCTTTGTGCTTCATTTTCTGGGCAATATATGAAGCACTTGCAGGCTGAAGCTTTCAATTGAATTTTTTAAATGTTTGTTTTTTCCAGAACTGTTTCTGCGGATTAGCAGGTTTGGGAAAACTACATGGATAAGTATTTGAGTGGAAAAATAAGCATCTTTCATGCATGATTCTTTAACATGGACAATGCAGAAGTAAATGAATATGTTTAGGATGTTTGGCATTTTCTTATTTATTAATATCTCTCTTGTTAGTAGATGGAGGTGTTGGATCATTTGATGAAGATTATAGTGGGGGTGAGAGTGAGGCTCCTGAATGTTCCCGGACGCCACCCGGGGACCGTGAGCTTAATGACAAACTCTTCCGTAAATATGGTGGTTATATTAGCACCTTGAAGCATGAGTTTTCTAAGAAGAAGAAAAAGGGAAAACTACTGAAAGAAGCTAGGCAAATCTTGTTTGATTGGTGGAGTGTCCACAACAAATGGCCCTATCCGACGGTATAATTTTTCCACAGTTTTATCAGATTAACTAAGCAGTTGGGCTTGGAGCAGCAACTGGAGTCTGAGAAAGCGAGGAAGAGAAGAGGTGTTTAGAATAGTTTTTTTGTTTTTAAAGTATGGACGGGCGTCTATTCCCTAATGGACGCCCATCCAAATGTAAGGGACAAGTGTCCATTCCTAATGGACGCTCGTCCAAATGTAAGGGACGGACGTCCATATTAACTGGACGCTCGTCCATAAAATTTGGACGGGCGTCCATTGTTTTTTTTTTTTTTTAAACAAAACAATTTTTTATGGACGGTCTTCCATTCCACTATGAACGACCGTCCAGGATGTATGGACGATCGTCCAAAATCGTTGGACGGTCGTCTATTTATGTCAGTATTTAATCATCCAACTTGGAGGCCTCTACGTGTTTTGTGCAATTTTTTGGTGTAATTTTTTGGTGGATATAACATTTTTCTTTACTGAAATGTGGGCTTGGTCTGGTTAGCATCTTTCCTTAATTTTCTCCATTGATGCTTTTACACCCCCCCCCCCCCCCCCCCCCCCTTTTATTATCCGCACACCCAACACGTTTATCAACTTACTCTCACGTCTATTTCAATCTCTCAGTCTCGTTAACTAATTACCATCATTACATCTTTGATCCGACGCTTATAATTAGAGATTTCATTACAAAACAGTGTGTGTAGCCCTAGGGGTTCGTAAAGTCAAGAAAGTAACCAATCAAAGATTAGATGGGTCGCTCCATATATGACAAAGGGAATGTGAATGTAAAAACGCAGTTTCAAGACTGAAATTATATGGAAAAGTTGAGATGGCTTCAGCTTTTTGACCTATGCGTATGGTTCTCCTAAAATGAAGTTTCTAGGCACCGGAGTTGATGGGCAATCCATTCTTTTACTATTTGGTGGGTGACAGAATATCACAGAGCTGGGGCCATGCATATTCCGTCTGCGTCATCTTTGAATCACAACTATCTATCCAACGTGGGTGGTGGGTGGGGACTCCTTCCTCTAATTTTCTCACTCTGAAAAGTCTGTGTCTTAGAGAATTCGAAGGATCATCATTTTCATTTCCACAGCTACAAGCACCTCTCGAATAACTCATAATTTTCTTCGGTTCTTTTCTCATTCAAATAGTTACCATCTTTGATCATGGCTGAAGCAATTGTTTCCGCTGTCTTGAGGTAACTGGGTTCAATCATTGCTCAAGAAATACAATAGGAAGTGAAGCTAGTTGTTGGTGTCGACAAAGAAGTCAAAAAGCTTAGGAGCAATCTTGAAGCTATTGAAGTTGTGCTCGTTGATGCAGAGGAAAGACAAATGAAGGAGAAAACTGTAAGTCTTTGGTTAGATCGGCTCAAACACGTATCCTATGACATTGAAGATGTGTTGGATGAGTGGAACTACGCCATGTTGAAACTGCAAATTGAGAGACTTGAAGATGATGCTGTTCCTAAGAAGGTGTGTTTCTCCTTTCCCTCCTCTTGCTTTTCTTTCAAACAAGTTAGTTTACATCATGGCATTGCAATGAAGATAAAAGATGTAACTGAAAATCTAGATGACATTGCGAAACAAAAAGATAAGTATGCTTTTAACACGATTAGAAGCATTGAAAAGTCAGAACGACTACAAAGCACCTCGTTTGTTGATGTGTCTGAGATATGTGGTCGAGTTGACGACAAGAATAGTTTAGTACATAAGTTATGTGATAGTAGTGAAGAACACCTTCCTGTCATCCCTATTATAGGGATGGGAGGAATTGGTAAAACCACTCTTGCTCAATTTACATATAAAGACAATGAGGTGATAAACAATTTTGAGAAAAAAATATGGGTATGTGTATCTAAGCCTTTTGATGAGTATAGGATTGCTAGAGCAATTATTGAGGCTTTAGAAAGTTTTGCTTTGAATGTAGTTGAATACGAATCACTTCTTCAACATATTAGTAAATCTATTGTGAGAAAGAAATATCTTTTGGTCTTAGATGATGTGTGGAACGAGGATTACAAAAAATGGGAACCGTTGTATCATTGCTTGAAGAATGGTCTTCATGGAAGTAAAATTTTGATTACCACACGTAAGGAATCGGTTGCACGTATGATGGGATCAATTGATATTATCAATGTTAAGGAGTTGCCTGAAGAAGATTATTGGTTGTTGTTTAGGCAATTAGCATTTTTTGGTATGTCTCAAGAGGAGTGTAAAAAATTTGAAGAGATTGGTAGGCAAATTTTAAGGAAGTGCAAGGGTTTGCCTCTTGCTGTAAAGACTATCGAGAGTCTCTTGCGTTTTAAGAAACATAGGGAAGAGTGGCAAAGTATATTAGATAGTGAATTATGGAAACTAGAAGAATTTGAAAAAGAAATTTTTTGGCCATTATTATTGAGTTATAATGATTTTCCTTCTATGATTAAAAGATGTTTAATATATTGTGCCATCTTTCCAAAAGGACTATAACATAAGAAAAAATTATTTGATTAAATTATGGATGGCTCAAGGTTATCTTAAAGGAGAAGGAAATAAAATAATGGAGATAGTTGGTCAAGAATATTTTGACTACTTAGCATCACGCTCATTCTTCCAGGATTTCAAAAAAGACGATCGGAATAATATCTTAAAATGTAAGATGCATGATTTAGTACATGACTTTGCTCAATTGTTGAGTAAGAATGAATGTCTTCACAAAGAAGTTAATGGTCTTAACGAACCAATCATAAACTCTTCTTATGATGAGCACGTTTGTCACTTGATGGTTACAATTAATGAAGAGGATTCATTTCCTAATTCCATTTTTAGTCTTAGAAGGATTCGTAGTTTCTTATATAATTTTGATGATTCCCAGGTTAAATTGACTCCTAATATCTTACCAAAATTATTTGTTGAATTGACATCTTTAAAGGTGTTAACCATAGCTCCATCGTGGCGGCATGTAGATGTGATTGAGTACATTCCTAAAGAGGTTGGAAAATTGATACATTTGAGGTATCTTAATTTGTGTTTTTCACGCATGAGAAAACTTCCTGAAGCATTATGTGGATTATATAATTTGCAAACTTTAGACATTAATCAATGTAGAGAAATGGAAGAATTACCTCAAGGGATTGGAAAATTAATAGAACTAAGGCATCTAGAGAATTATGGGACCACGTCATTAAGAAAAATCCCAATAGGAATTCAAAGATTGAGTAATCTCCGAATCTTAAGAGAATTCGTGTTAAGTGGTGGTGGTGGTAATGATAATAAAACATGTAGCCTTGAAGGTTTGAAATACCTTAACCTCTTTGAAGAGTTGTATATAAGAGGACTGGGAAATATATCAGATGTGAACGAGGTTAAAAGATCAAAAATTAAGAACCAGAAAAATCTCCTTCATTTGACTTTAGATTTTAGAAAAGATGAAGGAGAGAGGACAAATGAAGATGATGAAGCACTTCTTGGAATCCTACAACCATCTTTAAATTTGGAGAAATTACGGCTAGATAAATACAGAGGCGACACTATTTTGCCCAACTGGATGATGTCCTTAACCAACCTCAGTCACTTAACACTCCGTAACTGCATAAACTATAAGCATTTGCCTCCCTTGGGAAAATTGCCATCCCTTGAATCGTTTTCAATATGGGCGATGAAGAGTGTGAAAAGAGTGAGTAATGAATTTTTGGGAATTGAAAGTGATGGCACATCATCTTCTTTTATTTTCTTCCCCAAATTGAAAACTCTCACTTTTCAGTATATGGATGAATGGGAGGAGTGGGATTATGAGACTACAAGAAATGGAGAAGAAGATGATATTACAATCATGCCATCTCTGGTTTCCTTGTCAATTTATATACTCACTCTTCTGTATAACCGTGGCCGTCCATCATCACCAGTCTTTTATGAGGAGGAGAAGATTGTTGAAGACAACCTGATGACGGTCAGATGTTATTTCGTCTTTGAAAAGCACTTTCTTTTTAAAATAATTTCCAATAATTGCTAAGATGTCTGTTTTATTTTGATTGATTCTGTAGATAATGTCTTTGAGAAGTTTATGATTCATTCATATACACAATTTGTTTTCTTTTATCATCAAGTGAAAAATTTAATGTTTTCTTTTATTCATATACCATTAAAGTTTCAAAAGAACGCAAATGGTGGGTTGTGAGGACTCACTTGAGGTTTCTCTTATTCAGTCGTGAGGCAAGTTACCTATGTTAAGACATTTTTTCTCTTTGAACTTACTGAAACCATGCCTCAATTTTCCCTCTGCAGAACTCTGAACCACGGTGGAAAAAGTTGACAGGCCTGGAAAATTGTCTCTGTGCAGCATTACGCGGTAAGCAAGACGGGAAGAATGGCGTGAGGAGAGTAGTCGAAGGAACTCAGTTAATGGTTGGCTATGCTTTCTTACTGATCCCTATGTCATTTCTTTAATATTCTGTTTATTTCTGGGACTGATCAACAGAGGAAATACTCCCGGGCAAAGCAATGAACGACAAGTTATTATCATTCAATGGTAGAAATTTCATGTAGGCACTTGTTCAAAAAGAAATTTCTTCACATGAAACAACAAGTGCTAAATCTTTTGGTTTCCACATTTACTTGGTGAGTAGCATCTCATCTATATTTCTATCTCCAAAGCGCTTCTTTAAAAGAACAAATTTTCATCTACAGAATTTCTATCATGCTGGAAAAATTTGACAGACCTGGAAATATCTTCTATGAGCGATGTCCACACTCAATTTTTCATAGAATAATCATCTAATATCGTTTATGCAATTTTTTTCTTCTAAGCCATGCAAATTTCTATTCGACCACGGTTTCAGATTTCTACCGTAGAACAAATATGGAACAGAGGAGGGATAAATCATAAATGTAGGAGATTATGTACTCAAAAGGACTCAAATGGTTGGTTATCCTTTCTCACTTCTCTTTTTTTTCTTCATGTTTAAACTAGAAAGTACATCAAAGCTTTATTACTGGTTCTGTAAGTCCTTTAATTTTTATTCAGAACTGTTTCTCTTACTGTTGGTTGCTATTTTATCAGGGAGCTTCTCAAATTACAGTGGATGCCCTCTATGACATCATTTGATAACTCATTTAGATAGGTTTGTTTTCTTGGTTATCTGTCTACTTAGTGGGGACATTGAAAAAGACGTTCTCTCTAGCTAATTAAACTTGGTTTTGATATGTTCATTTTGATGCAGTGAGCCAAGTTTAAGATGTCCTGAATTTGCAAAAGAATCAAGGTTGAATTATTGTGCATTAAGAAGTTTAAGGTATGTCATCTATTGTTAATGTTTTCTTGGTTCTTGTATTCTTTTTCTTGACCATAAGATTCCTATGTGAAGACATTAGTTCTCTTTCAGCTTATTGAAACCAGGCATCAAATTCTCTGTGCAAAAATTTGCAGATTGAGGTATCATGGTGGAAAAAGTTGACAGATTTGGAAATATCTACCTATGGCCGTACGTATATCTTAATTCTTAAAGGTGATAAACCCACTTTCCTTACATCAATTTTCTGATAATGTTTAGGTGCTGTTTTTCTCTTTTACACTAAGGCATGTAATATTCTATTTATAGCTTCAAATTTCAACAAATAGTCATTGTTTAGTGCAGCATTTTGTCTTCTGGAAGAAGGAAATAATAGGTGTTAGGAGGAACTCATTTAATTTTGGTTATAAATTTCTCCTCTTTCTTCATTTGTGATGTTTAAAAGCACTTCACAACATTTGTTTTCTGATTCAGTTATTTCTTTAATATGCGGAACTGATTTACTATTTGGGCTTACCTATCCTGAGAATTTGCAATTTCATTCACAGATCAATAGAGGAAATACCCCAGGTCAAAGCAATAAAGGTCCCGTGAATTGAGAAAATTATTACTATAAGATAACTAAATTTTAAAACATGATTTTAGATATTAAAAAATTTCTTTAAAATATTCTATTTAAGGTTTCATATTTCATCAAAATATTTACTGTTCCAGAGATGCATTTTGCGGTATGAAAGAGAGGAAGGATGGTTTTTGGAGAGTTGCTGAACGAACTATTAATGGTTGGTTATGCTTTCTCAAAGTTGCTCTCTGTTCTTTCTTTAATGCTTGATGTTTAATATGAAAGCATATCTGAAGAAAGCTGGTTCTGTTATTTCTTGATGTTCGCTAACTATGCTGAGAATTTCAATTTTCCCATTTGAGGCCGTAGCAATGGAGGATGAAATTACATCATGCACTGAAGAAAACTTGATTGAGGCACTTGTAAGCAGAAAGAAAATTTACAAGATGAAACAATTGCTTAAACCTTGGTCTTCAAATTTACTTGGTAGGCTAGCATTTGATGCTGTTTATTTCAATCTCCTACTTTCATCTTGAAAAATATTTACTGTCTCAGTGAAGCAATTTGCCTTATGGAAGAGAGGAAGAATGGTAATAGGAGAGTAGTCGAAGAACTTAATTAATGGATAGTTATGCTTTCTTAACGCAGCTCTCTGTTCTTTCTTCCTTTCTTATTCCTCAATTAGAAAGCATATCGCAATGTTATGTTAGTGGTTGTGTTATTTCTTTGATATATGTGCAGAATTTAAGATTGACAGAGTAAATACTGGAGGCCATAGAAATTGGTCAAGGCACTTGTAACAAAAAGAGAATCTACCTGATGAAACAAGTGCTCACTCCCTGGTTTTCACATTTGCAATTCGGTGAGCTTCCATCGTTAAGAGTCTGCAGGATTTTTTATAGCAATGTCTGCACTCCTCGAAGGTCATAACCCCACATGCCATATATCAACTTTCTGATAATGTTTTAAGTAATTCTTTCTAAAATAATAGTACTAAGTCATGTAATTTTCTATTTTAAGTTTAGAATTTCATCAAATTTTCAGGTTACAGGAAAGAGGTAGAATGGCATTAGGAGAGTAGTCGAAGAACCTTAACCAATGGTTAGTTATGCTTTCTCATTAATCTTTATTCTTTCTTCATTTTTTTTTTAATTGATGTTTAAATGGAAAGCATTTCACAGCTTTAGGTTTTTGATTCCGTTATTTACTTTATAACATGCAGAGTTGATTTAGTAGTTCAATGGCTTCCTATATATGCTGAGAATTTACAATTTCTGTCACTTGGGAGAAGAAATGAAGGTCCATTTTTTATCATTTGATAGTACAAACTTCATTGAGGCACTTGTCAACAAGAAGAAACTTTTGCCTGATGAAACAAATGCTGAATCTTCTGCTTTTCACAATTTCTTGGTGGGCTCTATAATTCTATCTCCTATTTTCTTCTTGAATTAGCATCATCACTGTCATACGGTATATCAAAGTGTTTCTTATTCTACCTAACATGATAGAAAGTTTACATTAAACGTTAAGTTATATAATATTACACTGCATTAATGAGAATAAAAATAAGAATATATTACTAAACGATGCAAATATATACTCAGAAATTTTGTCTTAAGAGGAGGTTTTGATTGCAAGAAGAGCAATCTCATTGTTAGCTCTCATTGAAGACCCTTGATTGGCTACTAATTATATAAAACCCATATCAATTAATTTGGCAAAAATTTTACGATTTATTCATTTACCTTGTAACCCAAATTATCGAGTGTTTGGGTTTGGGATCGGTTTTGTTTTATGTACGTTGAATCGAACCACAAAAAAATTGATTTCTCTTTTTTGTACCTATGTAATATATATGAACACTCTTGCAAAACCGAACCAACCTGCTTAGATCGATTTGGTCCGGGTCAAATTTTCGAGTTTGTATGGGTTGTACACAATCCTTCATGTAAGAGCACTTATTATGAAGTGCATATGTTATCATTGAAAAATATTAAGTACCCGTTATCAGAGAGTTTGTAATAAAGGGCTTTTTATAATATATATATTAATATAATGCTGAAGCAGACTACTTTTTCTGACGCCACGTAAGATTGATATATGATCGTCATGTAGGATGTCGTTAATTGGTCCACGTGTTTGTTGTTTATTGGGCTTGCTATAATAGAGATTATTCATATGCATTCAATTAATGTATTCAATACAAATATTTCACATTCCTCTTTTAATTTGAGATCTTTCACAAAACTGCTTCTTCTGACGCCACGTAGGATTGATATATGATCGTTATGCAAGATGTCGTTAATTGGTCCACGTGTTTGCTGTTTATTGTGCTTGCTATAATAGGGATTATTCACATGCATTCAATACAAATCTTTCACATTCCTTTTTTAATTTGAGATCTTTCACATTCTCTTTTAATTTGATAAATTACTAATATTTCACATATATGTTATTGATTTCCATGAATATTAAGAGATTGCTGTAATAGAAATTATTCGCATACATTAAATTAATGTATTCAATACAAATCTTTCACATTCCTCTTTTAATTTAAGATCTTTCACATTCCTCTTTTAATTTGATAAAGATACAACATATTTGTTCACATTCATGAAATTCAATAATACACTTTATTAATTCATTAATATTCAACATTCATTCATGCATATTAATTATTATTATTAATTAATATTAATATATTTGTACCCCTTCACATTTAATTAATTATTATTAATATTAATATATCTTTACCCCTTCACATTCAATTAAACAAAAATATCAAACATAATAACGAAAAATGATTTTTATAAAATGTATTATCATTTAACATTTAATATAAATCTGAAAATTTTAAACTCATCCAATAACAATAAAACATTTAAATCAAAATAACCATAACCAATAACATGCAAACACTTACTAAAAAATATCAAAAGTCATATTAATTAGCAATAATCTAATTACATTGAACATAACACGAACAGTTGTTGTAATAATTAATTATCATATAATATTACTTAATGACATCTAAAGCTATATAAGAGTAGAGAACTCAACAATCCATACACCTTCAAATATTTCTTTCATTTCACACAGATACCATTAACAAATGGAAGACAAAAGACCAACTATTGTCAATCCAAAATCCAAACAAACAGAAGCGTGTAGTAAATAACATCAACTGATTACTCTTATATTCATTCTACATATCTACTTTTACATGTCCATTTTTTTATTTTTAACAAGTCAAGCAGCAACGTCAGATGGTAGAAAACCTTAAAGTCACGTTGGACAAACTCAACACTGCTAGAGTGATGAACAGAGATATAATGAATGCTTTGTTAGAAATAATAGGCTCAACCGTGCATGTAATATTCGATTTACGGAAACGTGAATCTCTGATTATTGCTAAAGAAAAGGAACTTGGTATTCCTCAAGGAAAAAAATAGAACTATATATATAAATAGTTATATTATTAATAAAATCGATAAAAGATTCATAGTATATTGTTCCCACTGAATGATGATAACAGAAGCTAATATAAATACTGCTTATTCTACAGTTAATGCATAATAATTTTTAAATGTTATATTAACAAAAATGAATACCCAAACATAACTGATTAATGTTTCCAATAATTTTTTTAATTGTATAGTTATATGACTTAAAGAAACTTAATTAAAATAAAAAAATAATTTTTGACTTCATGGTTTCAATTACCAGTAATAATTTCTCAAAATAATATTTTAAATATATTTACTAAATCTAACTATTTATCACAATCTCTTAACTATTGATATTCTACATATATACATTTAATCTTTAAACATAAAAACTTGATTTAAAAAAAAAAAAGAACAATAACAAAAGGTTCTATTAAACTCCAGTTGTGTGAATTACAACTACTTTCCATTATTATTATGGAAAAATATTTATTTATCTACTAAATATGGAAAAAGAAATTAATTACAAGATAAGGTTCATTTATATACTTTCCAAAAGACTTTAACCTCTTTTTTAATTAATCAATTAAAAGCATTAATTTTTTTCATTCTAAATTAACCTTATTTACATAAAGTAATATTAACTCTTCAGATTTAATTTCAATATTTTCATTTTTATATTTATATGCAAGAACACTAACAAAGATTTAACAATATTTTCTAAAATGATTTTGTTGGTGATGCATTTTACTAATTATTAAATCGATAAAGGATGCATCAGTTGGAAAGTAAATTGAATGAATATATATATATGTTGGAGTTATGTTAGGTTTGAATTGTAACATTATTTTTTTAAATATATGGATGTGTGATTGACAAATTTCAAGTAAATGTAACTTTTTTAGATGATGATGTAGGATTTAATTCATGCAAAGGAGGTTGACTTTTTTTCGAACATTTATTATTTTTAAATCAAGAACTAAATTAACAATATTTATAAATATTTTTATTTCAAAATCTAAGAGTAGAAGGTTTTAATTTCCGTAAAAGAAGAATGACACAAGCTACAACAACTTTTGTACATAAATTAATGTGTACATAGATGAGTGTCCATAAAAAGTTAACTCGATAACTAAATAATTATGATAGCGAGCTAGAAAATTTATTTTGACGGCTAAAATTTGAAAGTTACATTTATGGGTACCAATTTTTTAAGTTCTTAAAATGTCTAGGAAACAAGGTTGCCGACATACTCCCTATTACCACTGTTGGGTAGATTGTCGCCCGATCTACGCCATGGTGCCAACGGTGTCGTAGGACTCGCTTCTGGCGATGGCCATTAGAATCGACAATGCTATCTGGTAGGCGACTCTGTTGGACAATTCTTCACTTTTTAATATTTTTTAAATAATTAAAATATTAAAATAAAACTGATTTTTGAAAAGACAAAAATACCCCTTTAGAAAAAGGAAAATTACTTACACAAACAACACTAAATTTAATGAACACATTACACACTACAAATTCAAATTTAAATAAACACTTTATATATTACAAATTCAACATATTTATTGATATTCATTTTTGAATGTGTAATGCGTATATTTATTTTATTTTCTCCTAATTCTATATATGCCAAAAAATATTCACATGAAAATCATATTAGTTTTTTAAATTCCATTATTTTTGCCGTATTTTGTGTAAGTCAATTCATACAGTTGGTCAACATAGCAATATCAACCACAAAAAATCACACGCAAAATAAGATTTAATTATTTGAAATAAACATAAAATGTTTCCACAAAACACATTGCCAATGAACAATATATAATTAACATTGCCAATGAATAATACATAATTATATACACACACTTAAGTAGAACTACAATTTTTCTTCCTTTTTGTGATTTTATTATCATGTCTCCATTGAGATTGGTCATCACTGATGATGATCAGACAACACACACACACACACTCAATCTGACGATCTTCAAACCCGTTCTTGATTTGAAGGGATTCATTGGAGCGATTTTAAAGATGAAAGTCGCCCGACTAACAATCAAGTTAAACAATCAAGAGTTTGAAGATGATGAACTCCTTTATAATTACAACTTTGGACGATTTCCTACTGTTGTTCTTCATGTAAAATCGTTAAAAGGAGGTCTAAAAGTTGACTTCATCGTAAAATTTTATGGGACAGTCAACAATTGTCAAGGTGAGGGAAACAGTTCTGGTTGGTCAAAATGACTCTCAATCGCTATAACATCGAGATGGATGATTATTTTTCTCTTTCTTCATACCATGTCTATAAATAAGTCTTGAATTTTCTTAAATTGTAAGATTTTCTCATTTTCTCAATATAAATTAATTCAATATAAAGTTAAGTGCATAATACTCATTTCATATTTCAAATTCTCATAAAAAATTTGAGAATTTTAAATCATTTATTTGAAGATTAATAACTATGCGTTTAATTCTAATTTNCTGTAAATTCATGCAAAACGATATCTTCAACCTCTTTAGATTCATAGGAAGATGGGTTCTGAAATGTATAATAAAGAATCACATGAGCCAATAGATAAACTTTCAAGAGATATGTTGTTTTTGTTCATCCATGCCTCAGGTAAGGATTTCAATTTTTTGCATCCGACAATTTCGACTACTCTTAACTGCCAAGGGAGACCAACCTCTGGAAATGAAATAAGATTCGGGCACTTTGTGATATAAATCTTTCTGAGAGAAGTAATGTTGAGCAATGCTTGTGGCAACTTCACAAGGCAATTGCAATCTCTCAGTTCTAGATACTGAAGTTTACAAGGCAACAATTGCTGCTGATGCTCTTCTTCTTCCTCCGCCGCCAAGGATAGAAGTTGGGGACAGTGTCCAATGACCAGTTGATCAAGGCTGCTAATGTTTTTGCAGCAATTGAAGTCCATTCTGACATAAAGATGTTAGCTCTTTACAACTAACAATCTTTAGATCTTTTACTTGCCACAACCCTCGCATAAACTGGTCTAGAATCACAGGACTTGAAACATCAGAAAGAACTACTGAATAAAATGAGCTGAGCTTCATTGTGCTTCTCACCGTTATCTCTTTACATCCATCAATCTCCAATCTACAGAGTCTTGGAAGAAGTGGAACTGACACCAGCAATCGTCTGCAACTTTTAATGACAAGCCTTTCCAAAGAAGGAAGATGTTCTGGCAATCTTCCTACCAGTTTAGAACAGTTTACAATAAAAAGCTCTTTCAGGTTAGAGAAACCCTCAGCTTCTAGATCAGGTCCATGAGAAATCCAGTCTTCCCATTCTTTCATATCCTTGAAAGTAAGAGACTCTAGCGATGGAAAATAATTCGAGCAACCATTTCCATAGAACTCTGAGCCCACTCTCTTTACTCCACCCATTCCTGTGATTACAAGGCACTTGAGCGAGGGTAATTGTGCCACTGGTGGCAATGAAGTACATCTGCTACAATCTTCAAATCTTAAGAGGACTAAATTTGAGAATGAGGAATCTCCTAACCAACTAGGAAATTTTGTACCACCATAACCCCGGATAATGAGCTCTTTCAGATTTATATGAGGTTGCAACATGTCCAGCACACTCGTCTCGATCTCTGTCTTCCTGCAATTATCAGTGATAGTCCATTCCAACAGTAGTACATTAAGGCTCTTCTTCCCATTCAAGTCAGCTTCCTTGGCATCTGTAGCCTCATTTACATTCTCCAATCTTGAAATCCTTAATGTGCCCTGGAGATGCTTTAAGGACTTCAAATCTCCTAATCTGGAGCCAATGCCTTTGCCTACAACAAAATCTGATAGTGTTTGGAGAGAAGTTAACTTACCAATACTCAAAAGGCATTTCTTCCAATAAAAATGCGTGAGAAGTGTTCAGATGACGCAAATTAACCAAGTTCCTGATGTCTGAACATAGTTTCTTTAGAGAGTAACAACATTCTGTTATGAGTGTCTGTAAATTGTAAAGATGATTGACTGATCCCGGCAGAGTTTCGATTTTGGTATAAGAAAGGTCGAGATATCGTAACTGTTTCAAATTGCTAATTTCATTTGGTAACTCTGAAATCCGATATCCATAAAAAGATAAGACCCTTAAGCGCTGTAGTTTTGGCACCAAATGAGTAAGAACATCAGGAGCCACGAAGCAATTTCCAGGGTGTGGTACCATTATTGGTAAGAACGTAAATGATTGAAGTGATAGAGGGGCTCAAACTTTTTAATGTCCTCGTATTCTTTACCAATGAAAGATAAATGGCGAATATTCTTCAAAATTTTCTGTTGCTTATTTACCTCCTGAATGTTCTCAATCATAAAGCATATTTCTTACGCAGCCCATTGAGCAAGATCATTGATGAGGTCATGCATCTTGAACCGAGAAGTATCTCGTGAATGTTGAAAAAATGACCTTGATTGCAGATCACAAAAACATTTGAGACCTAGCTCTTCCATTTGCTTCCCACTAATTTCATGTTGCAAGAACCCCACAGCCATCCACAGCAAAATTATCTCCTCCTTCCGAAAAGCATAGCCTTTTGGAAATATTAAGTAATATGCAAAGCTTCATTTCAAATGTGAAGGAAGGTAATGATAACTTAGTCTAAGAGCAGGTAAAATGCCACTGCTTTCCACAGGCAAATCCCATATTGCGCTATTTAGCACGTCATTCCAATCATTTGGATCATATTTACCGCATAAGAGACCACCAAGGGTTTTAGCTGTCAATGGTAAGCCATTGCACTTTTTCACAATTTGCTCACTGATTATTTTCAAGGTTAGATGCTCGCTAAAGTCTTGTGTCCCCAATGAGTGTTGAGTGAACACACACAAACAATCATTATGTGACAACTCTTCCAACTTCTTTCAACATGTAAGTTGGAAGAGTTCCCATCATCGTTGAAATTCCTTGATTGCGAGTTGTAACAACAATCTTATTGCCCATGCTGCCCACTTCAAATAGATGTCGCAACGCAACCCACTCATCATAATTCTCATTCCAAACATTATCCAAAACAATCAAAGACTTTTTTCTAAATAGTTTCTCCTTCAATCTAACTTATAGTAAATTTAAATCACTAGCATCAACTGTCTCACTAGAAATGGATTGGAGAATAGTTTTTGTTACCCTAATGACATCAAAATCATCGGAAACACAAACCCAAACACTAAGGTCAAAATGACTTTTCACCTTAACNCCTCCTGCAATTATCAGTGATAGTCCATTCCAACAGTAGTACATTAAGGCTCTTCTTCCCATTCAAGTCAGCTTCCTTGGCATCTGTAGCCTCATTTACATTCTCCAATCTTGAAATCCTTAATGTGCCCTGGAGATGCTTTAAGGACTTCAAATCTCCTAATCTGGAGGCAATGCCTTTACCTACAACAAAATCTGATAATGTTTGGAGAGAAGTTAACTTACCAATACTCAAAGGCATTTCTTCCAATAAAAATGCGTAAGAAGTGTTGAGATGACGCAAATTAACCAAGTTCCTGATGTCTGAACATAGTCTCTTTTGAGAGTAACAACATTCTGTTATGAGTGTCCGTAAATTGTAAAGATGATTGACTGATCCCGGCAGAGTTTCGATTTTTGTATAAGAAAGGTTGTGATATCGTAACTGTTTCAAATTGCTAATTTCATTTGGTAACTCTGAAATCCGATATCCATAAAAAGATAAGACCCTTAAGCGCTGTAGTTTTGGCACCAAATGAGTAAGAACATTAGGAGCCAAGAAGCAATTTCCAGGGTGTGGCACCATTCTTGGTAAGAATGTTCGTAAATGATTGATGTGATAGAGGGGCTCAAACTTTTTAATGCCCTCGTATTCTTTACCAATGAAAGATAAATGGCGAATATTCTTCAAAATTTTCTGTTGCTTATTTATCTCCTGAATGTTCTCAATCATAAAGCATATTTCTTACGCAGCCCATTGAGCAAGATCATTGATGAGGTCATGCATCTTGAACCGAGAAGTATCTCTTGAATGTTGAAAAAATGACCTTGATTGTAGATCACAAAAACATTTGAGACCTAGCTCTTCCATTTGCTTCCCACTGATTTCATGTTGCAAGAACCCCACAGCCATCCATAGCAAAATTATCTCCTCCTTCCGAAGAGCATAACCTTTTGGAAATATTTAGTAATATGCAAAGCAGCATTTCAAATGTGAAGGAAGGTAATGATAACTTAGTCTAAGAGCAGGTAAAATGCCACTGCTTTCCTCAGGCAAATCCCATATTGTGCTATTTAGCACGTCATTCCAATCATTTGGATCATATTTACCGCGTAAGAGACCGCCAAGGGTTTTAGCTGTCAATGGTAAGCCATTGCACTTTTTCACAATTTGCTCACTGATTATTTTCAAGGTTAGATGCTCGCTAAAGTCTTGTGTCCCCAATGAGTGTTGAGTGAACACACACAAACAATCATTATGTGACAACTCTTCCAACTTCTTTCAACATGTAAGTTGGAAGAGTTCCCATCATCGTTGAAATTCCTTGATTGCGAGTTGTAACAACAATCTTATTGCCCATGCTGCCCACTTCAAATGGATGTCACAACACAACCCCAATCATCATAATTCTCATTCCAAACATAATCCAAAACAATCAAAGACTTCTTTCTAAATAGTTTCTCCTTCAATCTAACTTATAGTAAATTTAAATCACTAGCATCAACTGTCTCACTAGAAATGGATTGGAGAATAGTTTTTGTTACCCTAATGACATCAAAATCATCGGAAACACAAACCCAAACACTAAGGTCAAAATGACTTTTCACCTTAACATCCTTGTACACAAGCTGGGCAAGAGTTGTCTTGCCCACTCCACCTGTTCCAACAATAGGAATTACAGCAACTCCATCAGACTTATCTTCATCTCTCAACAACAATTCAATTATTGCTTCCTTATCTTCTTCTCTTCCATAAACAGTAGCTTCATTCACCAAAGAAGTTGTGGGTAATTGATGAGAACCTGACCTGCAATTTATCAAATAACACTACAATCTAGCTACAGTTCCAATCCAGATCACAATCAAAACAAGGAATCTCTATATTAATAGCAGCAAAACAGTACATCCGAATAATATACCCAGACCCTGTTTACATAATATTCCACAAATGAGAATCCATCAAATTAAGCTAACTATAAAAAGAGAAAACAAAATGATAATACTGACTTCGAGGGTCAGTCACCTCCCTTTCCAATTCTTAATCAACTTTTTCAATCCCTCTCCCTTTTCTCCTCTCCCCCCTTTATTCCCTCCTGGCACCTAAGTTTACTCCTAACAGAATTTCTCCTCTCTCCAATCCCCTCAGGCCACCTGTCCCTTCATAACAAATTCTTCTAAGCTCCTATATGGCAATTATTCCCCTGCTTCTTACCCCACTTCTTCCTACGGTGAACCCTTCCCTTTGGTTACTCATCATTACCCTCCCCAAGGAGAACCACCTTGTCCTCAAGGTGGAAAGAAGGAAACTGGCTGAGAATAGTTTCAAAATCCTCCCAAGTGTTTTCAAAGAGAGGTAAACCTGTTCATTGAATCAGCACCTCCCACTGTCCGTTGATGAGTTTCCTTTTCTGGAGAACAGCTTCAGGTTCAAGTTCTTCATTGAGGCCAGCTGGTAGAGGTTGACTATTGGGTATAGGAAAGGTAGCTTTTTTCAGCTGCGAAACATGAAAAACATCATGAATACGTGCCGAAGATGGTAGTGCCAGCCTATATGCGACTGCCCCAATTTTTTTCGTGATGACAAATGGACCATAAAACCGTGGACTGAGCTTCTCATTATATCAACGGGCTAGGGACCGTAATCTGTATGGCTGTAACTTTAAATAGACAGATTCCCCTACCTCAAATGTAACTTCTCGGCGATGATTGTCCGCGAAAGTCTTCATGCGATGTTGGGCCTTGAGGAGATGGTCTTTTAACTCGTCAAGAACCTGGTTGCGCTGCTGGAGTTGCTAGTCAACTTTGTTGACGACGGAAGTGTGGTCTGAATAACGCAACACTGTTGGGGCCTCTCGGCCATAGAGAGCCTTAAAGGGACACATTCCGGTGGAGCGGTTATAAGTAGTGTTGAACCAAAATTCTGCCCATGGAACCCATTTTGGCCATGATTGGGGTTGGCGATTGACAAAACATCTGAGATACGTTTCTAAGCAACGATTTACTACCTCTGTCTGACCATCTGTCTGTGGGTGGTATGCCAAACTCATATGTAATTGGGTCCTTGATTGTTTAAACAGTTCACTCCAAAAGTTGCTCATGAAGACTCTATCCCGATCGGAGACAATGGTACGGGGAAACCCATGTAGGCGAACCACCTTTTTGATAAACAAATCAGCAACCATCTTGGCTGTGTAGGGATGTTTGAGGGTTAAAAATGACTATATTTAGTCAAATGATCCACTACGACGAAAATTGTATCAACCCCATTAGCTTTCGGAAGCCCCATGATGAAATCCATAGATACGTCTTCCCACACTTGGTTAGGAATCGGTAGCGGCTGAAGCAAACCCGCTGGACTCATGCCATCATATTTATTTTGTTGGCAAACCGGGCAAGCGGCCACAAATTCTTTGATATCATGTTCATTCCTTCCCAAAATACCACGCTTGTTAGCCGCTTATATGTTCGGAAGAATCCCGAATGGCCTCCGATGGGCGATGCATGAAATTCTTGTAAAATTTTCTAGATGTGAGGTCCAGATTTAGGCAATACCAATCTGTTATGGTACAGCAGATGGCGGCCCAGTAACTTGAAGAGATGATGACTATTGGGGTCTATCAGGAGCTACTGCATTATTCCCCGTAACTTATCATCACCTTGAATGGCATCTTCCAAACCATCTAGTCTCGAAAAGTAACTCACAGAAACAGCATGAAGTTCTACCGTGTCTGGCATCCGCGAAAGGGCATCTGCTGCCTTGTTCTGAGCGCTGGGTTTATACTGAATGATGAAGTCTAACTCCAACAATTTGATAACCCATTTTTGCTGATTTTCACTTAATAATTTCTACTCAGTGAGGAAGTGAAGACTGCACTGGTCCGTCCGAATAACACAACGTCTACCCAACAAGTAATGCTGCCACTTTTGCACAGCCAGTACTATCGCCATTAATTCCCTTTCAAAAACTGACTTCAACTTAGAATTTAAAGATAAGCCTT